ACACAAACACTGCAGGACAAGCTGATTAACCAAAAAAAAAAAAAAAAAAGGTTCAGGTCCATGCATGCTTTTTGTTATATCTGATGCCACAGATAAGCAAAAGAAGTCCTCACAAAACCAGCATGCAGCCTGTGGGCCATAGGTTGGACACCCTGCTTTAAATGTATGCCTACATGAAAACTCAGATCTCTGAGGCTGGTCATGGTGACTCATGCCTGCAATCCTAGCTAGCACTCTGGGAGACTGAGGCACATGTATTGCCTGAGCTCTGGAGTTCAAGACCAGCCTGAGTAAGAGCAAGACTCAGTCTCTAAAAAAAATAGGCAGGCATTGTGGTGGGCACCTGTAGTCCCAACTTCTTGGGATGCTGAGGCAAGAGGATTGCTTGAGTCCAAGAGTTTGAGGTTGTTATGAATTAACATTCCGTGGCACTCTACCCAGGATGTGAGAGTGAGACTCTGTCTTAAAAAAAACAACAGAAGAAAACTAAGGGAATTGAATTGGTTCTGAAGCTTTTCCTCACCTGCCTACAAATGGAGGTTGGGGATCTTCCCTCAAATTTGAAGCTTTAAGAGTGATGGGTATTTGTTTGTTTGTTTTTTTTCACAGAGTCTTACTTTGTTGCCCTCGGTAGAGTACTGTGGCATCACAGCTCACAGTAACCTCCAGCTCTTGGGCTTAGGCGACTCTCTTGCCTCAGCCTCCCAAGTAGCTGGAACTACGGGTGCCCGCCACAACACAAGGCTATTTCTTTGTTGTTGTTGTTAAAGCGTGGCTGGGGCCAGGTGCAAACCCACCACCCTTGGTATATGGGGCCGGTGCCCTACTCACTAAGCCACACATGCCAAGTGGTAGGTATTTTAATAACAAAATTTGCTTTGCTCCAGAATGTGTTTCCTTGCTACTGAAATTGTTTTTGAAATAGAGTTTTAGAATTATGAGCCACCATTTTTTATAATGTTGGTTGCGTCTTTGTGAATAGAGGGGAATGGTTTAGATTCAGAAATCTTTCACAAACACAATTTATAAGAAAGCAAAGATTCTTACACCAAGGCTTTGCTTTAGATAGAGGGTATATGTGCTTCTTCTACACTCTTAGATGTGGAAAGTTAATCTCAGATCTATTTTCCCAAAGCCACAAAGTAAATAAATACTTAGCCTGGAAATGAGGTTTGGTTTCTTAAAAGTAACAGCTTACAAAAGTGTCATTTGGCAGCATAACCAGGTGATTAGGTGTAGTGTGATTTAGTCAGGTTGAGCACATTGCACAGGATTGCATAGGCAGGGGCCAAGCTAGGATGAACCGAGGGCTGTGAAGGTCTGTTCTTAGGCCAGGCGCCAGTGCCTCATGCTTATATCCCAGCACTTTGGGAGGCCGAGGAGGGAAGATAGGTTGAGACCAGGGGTTTGAGACCAGCCTGGGCTGCATAGCAAGACTCTGTCTCTAAAAAAAGTTTAAAAATTAGCCAGGTGTGGTGGCATGTGCCTATAGTCTTAGCTCCTTGGGAGGCTGGGACAGAAGCGTAGCTGGAGCCCAGGAATTTAAGGTCATAGCAATAATCATGCCGCTGTGCTCCAGACTGGGTGACAGAGACAGACTATGTCTCTTTAAAGGAGTAAGATCTGTTCTTAATCACTGTGCTTGTTACCAAAGAGCAATTTCTAGGTCAAAGGACATTTGATAATGAATTGGCAGATCATGGTATTTTCTTAGGGTCCTAGGCCTGTGCATAGTTCCAGGTACTTGATGACCATAAAGTCTATGTTAGAGCACTGTCAGGCTCAGCTCACATTCACTCTTTCTTTTTGCCACGTTTGTATTTCTCATGTTGTCCTTGTGAAAGCACAGGTGACTCCCACCCTGAAATCTGTGTGAAAACCAAGAAGAAAACAAAGCACAGCTTTGTCCTCTGGGCTTAGGCCTGCCTTTACTCTCCTCTACATCCTGGCCAAGAATATGATACAACTACACACAATCCTAGAGTAAATAGCCAAGGAAAATACATTTACTTTGACTTGGTTTAACTTGATTGGTAACAGGTTCTTGAGTATACATTTACATAATCCAAATAATCGTGAAGAAGGAAAAATCATTTTCAAGTTCTTGTGAACCCAAACAGTAGGTGATAAAGTCTTGGGCTATTACCTTTTATTATTTTACTTTTCCATGAAGATTACAACTTAGCAGGAGGTCATTAAGACCAAAATAATTACTTGCTTCCCCCCAACCAGGAAAGATGTCTATAAAAATGAAGAAGGGGAATTCCAGGGTACTTTGTATCTATTGGGATAAACAAAAACAAAAGGAACACATTCCTGTGACTTGATATATTCCTGGAAATGTGTCTTATGTGTCAGAGGCACTGTGTGTTTAAACATAAGCACAAAATACCCAGAGTCAAAATGAATGGCATTTAGCTTTTGCTTTTCTCTGTCTTTATTTAAAGTAATATTTGAAATCAGATTGTTAATGGCCCTTTCAGCAATCAACCATTTGCTTCCCCTGGATTCTTCTCCCTGCAGTATCATTTTCTTTTACACCATAGCTGCCCCTGTTAGGTGGTCACGTGGGAACTCTGACGCTGACTCCTGATGGAAAGCCCTACCATGGTGTTGGTTATGCGGTTATAGAATCAACAGACCATTATTTGACTGCTTTTCAAGTGGAGCTGTGTTTATGTCTAGAGGGATCAAATGGTCACTTTTCAGGTTATTAACAGTTGGTATTCTGGCTTTGATTTGAACAGGTTAAACGTTTCTCTTAATGTTGCCCAGAGCTTGGCAGCTCTTCCTTTTTCTTTATTGACTGGTAACTAAATACATTAATGCACTTCTGGGGTACAGTGTGGGGTTTTCACATGCAATCCGAAATACTTCCATCAAACTGGTCAACACAGCCTTCATGTCATTTTCTCAGTTATTGTTTTAAAACGTTCACATTCTACTCTTAGAAAGATTCACTTGTACCCCTGTAAGATAAACCTCAGAAGTGATCCCTCCAATCCCCCTCCCTCCACCCATTCCGCCCCCCCCCCCCCAGCTCTTCCTTTTTCTCCACAGAACTTTTAATCACCTCTATCATAGCCAAATCACGTAGGTTGTGTGGGACTAGAAAGCGATGTTGGCATTTGCCAAACAGATTCATCACAAAGCTCCTGTTTAGCTGAATCAGAATCCCTTGCCCTTCTTCCTAGGGATGATGACATTGAAGTCATTGTGGATGAAACCTCTGATCACACTGAGGAGACCTCTCCCGTGCGAGCCATCAGCAGAGCAGCCAGGTAAGTAGACGGTTGGGCCAGGAAAGAGAGAGCTCAGGCAGCAGTTGGACAGCAAATTTGTGGACACAACAGAAGAACAAAATCTGGTGCACCCACACTCCTGAACCCCTTTCTGGCACACCATGGAGGTGCTGAGTCTTTCTAGATTGACCTCTGCTTAATTGGAGAGAGGGCATAGGTGGCTTCATGTTTCTAAATATAAAACAAAGTAGTACTTCCTAAAAGATAGTTAAACTTGGAATGATTGTTGAGATGATATGTTTAATTTTTATTAGGACCCAAGGATTTTTTTTCTCCTAAAGCAGGACTAACAGAGGGGGGGTTCATTATTTATAGCCAGAAATTGTTAAGTCAGTTAGACAGTTTCCTTGTCTAAGGCTTTATTTCCAGGGAAATGAATTTAATGCTAGGGAATGTTATTTCCTTTAAAACCTTTAGGCTGGGTTTTCCCTTCTACCTTCCCATGTTTTCTGGTGGTTGAGTATTGTGTTGGGTTTCTCTTGGCTGGGGTTTGGGAACTAAATGGGAAACATACTGCCAGGTACCTGTTTTATGGGCTGTTTTTATTGATTGATTGGGCAAAATGTTTCTAAGGTTTAAACCTATCCTCCCCTCCTCTTTAGTAAGCGACTCTCGCAGCCTGCTGGAGGCCTTCTGGATTCTATCACTAATATCTTTGGGTAGGTTAGAAAACCTTCACCTTTCCTTTTAAAAATGTATGTAAATATACCTAAGTATATGTACATGATTTATTATTTTTTAATATACACTAGAATTTCAGTGGTGCAGCGTATACAGATGCCTTAATTTCAGCTTTTCATTTAGCTTCTTCCTTTTCTTCCCTCACCTTCCTTTGTTTTAATCTCGCTGCGTGCTGATCTCTGGCCTTTCCCTTTAGTTTGTCCGAGTCTCCCCTTTTGGGACATCATTCTTCTTCTGATGCTGCCAGGTGAAAATACTCTCTATCTTAGCCCAGCATGTGAGTGTGGGTCATTGATAATTATGCTGATCACGCTTCACTACCCTCAATCATCAGATGCACACGTGCTAACCAGGATGCTTTGCATGTTCAGGAATGCCGGCAGCCCTCTGAGCAGGGCTGTCACATTGAATCTTTGTACAGTACTCATGCTCTCGTCGCTCTTTCTTTTGGCATGCGTTGGACTCTACGTTGACCACGGTGTACACTGAGTATGATTATGACTAGGCATAGAAACCATCTTAAAATAGTTTTTGCAGAAATACCAAAGAGCTACCTGTGAGCTTGCAGTTAAATCAGTTTATTGACTGGGTAAGCAGGTTGTCCAGGATCACTTTTTACTATTGAATTTTGGAGCCTGAGTTAGCAAGCAGGAGAGTAAGGTATGTGCTGGCCCACATTAGTGAGGACGCTTCTGATGCTTTGTGAATAGCTCTGTGGCTTGAAGAGTCTAAAAGTGACAAAAGCTGTTGACAGGCAGTCTGCGTAAGCAGGCTTGTGTGTGAGTCTTTCTGACGTTGGATGAACACACAACTGTGTGACCCTGTCTAATGCCTGTCTTTATGTTGTTTCTCAGGAGACGCTCTGTCTCCTCCTTCCCACCCCCCCAGGATAACATGGATACTCACGCAGGTTCTGGTAAAGAAGTGAGGGTGCCGACTACTGCACTGTGTGTCTTTGTAAGTATGCTGCAGCCACAAACCCTGCACACTTGGTATGGGAGCAGAGCCTGGCTTCAGAGCCATCCTCTGTGACATAGGACTGTTGGGTGGTGGCATGAGGGATGGGCAAGGAAGAGCTAATCGTGGATGATGATGCGTAGGGCCATGATTACAAAGAGGACACAGTCCTGGGCAGAAGCTGCTATGATACCAAGCCTGTCACCTGGAGTTCAGAGCGGGGTCCTGGTACTAACAGTTCATCTGCATCTTGGCTGGAATAATTGAGCAGAAATCCAAAACAGCCTAAGGAACATTTGGGACATAGGACTTTCAGAGCACTGAGGGTTGAGGTAGTGGAGCCAGAGGGCAGACTTTCTGTACAAATGGGATGGAATTAATATGGTGGGAGCTTTCTGTTCAGGAAAAAGGAAGAACTTGAACAGCAGTTAGGTGTTCCTGCCCAGTGAACTGGCCTAGTGGTCAGCCACATTGTTATAGGGAGTCCTGCCTTTGAGGAGGAGTAGTCTAGGGGACATCGAGGCCCCTACCAATTCCCACTCTACTCCTGTGATTCCATCGCAGGCCTGGGCTTCTCACAGAGGTCAATGATGATTGGTAAAAGGTCTGATTGCACTGAATGTCACAGTCCCTTCCTTGCCCTCAGCTCCAAGCAGCTCATTGTTTTCTCTCCTGTCACATTTAAGTCATGTGTATGGGATAATGGAGCAGCTGACAGTTGGGGATTCTGTCAGTGTGTGTTTCTGAGAGTGCATGATTCACAGCTGACGAGTATCCAACAGAACCAGGCACGCAGGAGACTGACGAGCGGCATCATGGGTGTGATGGTGCATGATCTCAAGTTTTCAATCTGAGACCTCCTAAGGAGAAAGGAACCATAAAAACACACAGGAAGGAAGTTATATGCAGGTAAAAGATTTGCTCACCTGTCATACAAAATTTCAGCAGCAGGACACAATTGGGAAATCAATTTGCCATACAGAGTGATGCTTATTTCCTAGCCGCTCTGAGTGATGTTTCACCCATCTTTTCATTCAGTTCTAGGCAGTTGTGAAGAACAGGTTTTGCTTTTCCTGAAATAACCTTTTAGGCAAGCTATTAATGATCTGTATGACGATCAGATACTGGTAATCTGCAATTTAGTCTTCTTTCCCCCTCTCTTCTTTCCCCTTTGAGGAAATTTTCAAACATACATGGAAGTGAGACTACACAGAGGTGGTGGGCAGTGTCATCCAGGAAAGTACCTGCAGTTAGTCCCGTTTGCCAGTCTTGCTAAATGTCTTCCCCATACTTCTGGAGCAGTTTGCAGCGAATACCAGACGTTGTATTTTATCCAAAAATATTTCACTAATAACATCTGGTCTTTTTCTCTTATTTTCCCTAATATAGAATGCTTTTTTACTTGGTTTCCCCTCTCACCCTGAGCACAAATGCCATCTTTTCAGGTCGTGGGTTTCAGTGTTTTTGCTAGGCTCAGAAATTTTCATTGCGTAGAATTTAAACTCTCTCAAAATAACAACTGTCACTTTTATTTGAGGCCTACTCTTGAACAGACACAGTCCTGAGTCACAAAACAGTTTTTTTTCTGGAGACCATCTCTCTCTGTTGCCCAGGATAGGGTGCCATGGCCTCAGTCTACCTCACAGCAACCTCAGACTCCTGGGTTCAAGCGGTCTTCCTGCCTCAGCCTTCTGATTAGCTGGGACTAGAGGTGTCCACCCCCAGTGACCAGCTAATTTTTCTATTTTTAGTGAAGATGGGTTCTTGCTCTTGCTGATCTCAACTCCTGAGCTCAAGCAATCTACCCACAGGTATGAGCCACCATGCCTGGCCAAAAACCTGTTTTATAGATGGGCAAACTGAGGCTTTGAGATGGTAGGAAATGAGGTCACACTGCCAGTAGACACTAGTGCCATGTTTCCAAAAAGAAGTACATGAAATCCCATTATAACATAGATTGATGCCAAGTGGTAGGACCAGCCTCTGCTTGTACTGGGACTCATTATGTAAGGCTTTATCATTAGAGGCCATGTGCTGTACATTATTTAGAGACCTAGAACTTAATAGTAAATTAGTATTTAGTGATAAATCGAGCAAGTAGTGTTAACGCAGTCTGGACCAAAAGATGCAGTTAATTCTAGGCTGGTTTCTAAGCTGTTAAGATTGATATGGGTTGTTATTCTTGGAATAAATAAAATTAATACAAAACCAAACTTTAGACCGCCTACACAGATTTTATTCTTTGAAAAGGCTGCACTGTATTTAACTATAACTATACAAATAAATTGATACTAGACTCTGAGGAGAACCCTGAGCTAGGAACCCGGCTCAGTGTGTGATTGAGTCTACCTCTGTTAAAGGGCAAGCATTTCCCCTGTTGGGCATTGGGAGCGAGCATTTGCCTTGGGCTCTGGGAATGGGAATGGTGGGGTCAAAAAAAAAAGAAACACGGTGCTTGTCTTGCAGGATGCACATGATGGGGAAGTGAACGCCGTGCAGTTCAGTCCAGGGTCCCGGCTACTGGCCACAGGAGGCATGGACCGGAGGGTTAAGCTTTGGGAAGTGTTTGGAGGTGAGAGCCCATTGGCGTATACAGAAAGAACTTCTGTTGGCAGCATCTGGTTGGCCTTGGTATCAAGCACTTTTTGTTCATCTTCTTAAAACATGCAGCATTTTATGTAAGGAATCATCTGACCGAAGCATTATTATTTGTTACTTTTTGTATCTAAGTTGATGCTAGCTCAGATTTCCCAAATAGTGACTAGGAAATACGATATGGATGTGTTTATGTTAGAAAGGTTTTGTAGTTTTTCTCAAATATATACTAATTAGCATCTTGAAAAATAGTACTAGTTCTAGGAGGAAAATAAATCTTATGACTATGAACTCCGTAATAAAACTGTACGTCAGCCCATGGTTGATGCATTTAATCATGGCAGTAGTGATAGCCTAGAAAAAAACAAAGTCATATCTAGGCTTGAGAAAAGAAAAGTGTATTAATGTAGAGATAAGCACCCCACGCTTAGGCTGCATCACTGATCAGAGGGCTCTGGGGAACACTAACATATTAACAAGAAAAAAATTATTTAAGGGCCCTCAGACAAGGGCCCTTAGATTAAGACTCACTCTCTTTGATTGGAACTCAGGGTACTCAGAAACAGGATGGCATTAAAACAGAAAATGGAAGTTAATTGGCATAGTCTAGTTCTGACATTTTTGAGATTCAATTAAATATGCGTGTATTTTTACTAAAGTAAAGTCAAAGAAGTCTAAAGACAATAAAACTCAAATACTACATAACTTACGTAGTTGATCGATGTGGCTATAGTCTGTGATTGACTTGGCAAGTGAATAGTGGAGCTAAGGTTAACCCAAGTCCTATGACTTCAGATTCCATGCTCTTCCCACTGAAGCCTTCTCTAGGCAATAGAGCAACTAAGAAGTCATATAAGTTACTACCTGTGAGGTTTATTAGAGCAAGAACAATCTATTAATCCCTGTGGTTAGAGTTGATTATTCGTAAAGCTTCCTTATTTGCCCTGACCTTGATTTCTCAGGAAAAAGACTCCTAGTTGGCTCAGTGGTTAGGACACCAGCCACATACTCTGGGATTGGCGGGTTCGAATCCAGCCCAGGCCTGCCAAACAACAATGACAACTACAACAAAAAAGTAACTGGGTGTTGTGGTGGGCACCTGTAGTCCCAGCTACTTGGGAGGCTAAGGCAAGAGAATTACTTAAGCCCAAGAGTTTGAGGTTGCTGTGAGCTGTGATGCAACAGCACTCTACCGAGGGCGACATAATGAGACTCTGTCTCAAAAAACAAAAGAAAAAGGACTCAGTAGTTAAATCGCAGACAGTTAGAGCCAGCTGAAGCCCAGGACAATTTGCTGTTTCTCCCTGAAACAACATGTTAGTTTATGAATAGTGATTGTAGAAATTGTTATAAAACAGTAATAAAAACATACCACAAAAAAACTTTAGGGGCTTATAAAATTATAAAATCTAAGCAAATAATCTGTTTTGATTATGTCATTGAGATTAAATAGAAATAACATTAGATTTTATTTTATTTTTTGAGATAAGGTCTCATTCTGGGCTAGAATGCAGCAGCAGCTTTGCAGCTCATTGTAACAACAATCTCCTGCAGTCTAGTGATCAGCCTCCCAAGCAGCTGGGACTACAGGCAAAAGCCACATGGCTGGCTAATTGTTATTTATTTATTTATTTATTTAGAAATGTTTTCTTTTTACTTCTTGGTCAGTATACACACAACCTGTGATAAAATTAGAGGAGCCAATAATAGGGTTACCTTTTGTTGTTGAGGAAGGAAATAAACACTAATCAAAATTAATACTGAAGTAACATAGGATGTTTGGAAGCATTTTATGGTTTTTGTAAGGCCTTTCTTCTAAACTTCTTCATTCTGAAGTTTTTTCCTCTTGGTTAATACTGCATCTTGAAAGAGGCCAAGTCCAAAGAGACCTTTTATGGAGTAGTTTGGGGCCCTGTTTTATACCCTTTAAAAATAATCAGAAGAATGGTGGTTTTTGTCCAATGGAAACATCTGTTTTTGTCTCAAGCAGGTGCTCCCCTGGGAGGTAATTTCAGACCCCCTATTACCACAGCCTCCCCCTGGAGCGTGAGTGAAGAGAAGAGACAACGACCCTTGATGGGTCTTTTCTTACATGTTAGCGCTGTGTTAGATGCCAAGTACATAGCCAGTATTTTGAGTATAAGCTATAGGGAAATTTCTTAGAATTTGCAGTAATATTTTTGTCTATAAAGATCTCCTCTAAATATAGTCCCAGCTACTCGGGAGGCTGAGGTAAGACAATCACCTAAGCCCAGCAGTTGGAGGTTGCTGTGAGCTGTGATGTCACGGCACTCTACTGAGGGTGATAAAGTGAGACTCTGTCTCAACAACAAAATATATATGTATCTTCTCTAAATAAAGTGATGCCTTAATTAGTGGATATTAACCTTCTTCAACTTTTTCACAATCATGTACTAATCTGATGAGATTAGGGAGCCAGGAGAAACGTTAAATATGCTGTATTTTGCAAATAAATTCTAGGGAGGGTTCACCAGCCAGGTTAGAAATCTACGCCCTGAATATGTGTGACAGCTTCAGACCAGCATTCACACCATTCTGGCTCCATTCCTACTTGTATCACCACTGTTCAGGAGTACTGAGTAAAAGAAGGATCTGTTAGAATGGTTTCTGTTCTTATCCTCTTTTATGAGTTCAATTATGATTCCCTAATTCCTACCTTACCAATATAAATAGTCCTTAAGCTCCCATTTTATGAGGAATTTAGGACTGAGCTGTGGCTAACACCTGTAATCCCAGCACTCTGAGAGGCCATGGCAAGAGGATCACTTGAGCTCAGGAGTTCAAGACCAGCCTGAGCAAGAGCGAGATCCCATCTACTTAAAATAGAAAAACTAGCCAAGTGTTGTGGCCTATAGTCCCAGATACTTGGGAGGCTGAGGCAAGAGAATCACTTAAGCCCAAGAGTTTGAGGTTGCTGTGAGCTGTGATGCCACTGCACTCTACCAAAGACAACATAATAAAACTATCTCAATAACCAAAAAAAAAAAAGTATAAGGAGAAATTTCAGAAATAGTAGACAAACTTTATGGCATCCTAATGACTAGTCAGTTTAACGTAACTAAAGTACCTTTTTAAAAAATTCCTTTTCAAACTTTATTGAAAATTAATTACACCATGGGTTCTGAAATTTTGATGGTCAGTTTCTACAAAAGTGATAAAGTCAGTGCAAATACTGGTCAGACCAAAGATTTATTTATATAAATTAGAAAAATTACTGAGAAATAGCATAAATTCCTATACTTTCTCTGTAAAGGGCATTGATCTAAATTTCTTCAAGAATAGCTTAAGAACACGTGGAAGATGATGGGGTCGGTATCTACTTAAGCATTCGTTGTTCTAAGATATTAACAGTATGTTGTATCTCTTACCCTTCTGCTCATTCTGCTGTTTGGTTCTGTAAAGGTGCAGGGAAGCTGCTGTCACCAGTGTCACTGGCTTCTGTTTATCCCAGTGCCCCACTTTAACTTACTTACTGGCTTTGTTTAACTCTGTCTTTTCTCAATTGTTTTCTTTTTATACAGACAAATGTGAGTTCAAGGGTTCCCTATCTGGCAGTAATGCAGGAATTACAAGCATTGAGTTTGATAGTGCTGTAAGTATCTAATATCTATGATTTTAGAGATTTCGAAGACCCTTTTTTTTTTTTTTTTTTTTTGAGAGAGTCTCACTCTGTTGCCCAGGCTAGAATGCCATGGCCTCACCCTAGCTCGTAGCAAGCTCTTACTCCTGGGTGCCAGTGTTTCTCCTACCTCAGCCTCCCAAATAGTTAAGGCTACAGGTCCCCTCCATGAAGCCCAGCTAAATTTATTTTATTTATTTTATTTATTTATTTTTTTGGACAGCGACTCAAGCTGTTGCTCTGGGTAGAATGCCATGGCATCATATCATAGCTCACTGCAAACTCCAACTCATGGGCTCAAGCCTCAGGTTTTCTATTTTTAGAAGAGACAGAGTCTTGCTTTTGCTCATGCTGGTCTCAAACTCCTGAGCTCAAGCAATCCACTTACCTTGGCCTCTCAGAGTATTAGGAATAGAAGCGTGAGCCACTGTGCATGGCCAATTTTTCTATTTTTGGTAGAGGTGGTAACTAAAAAAAGAACCTTTTTAAAAAAGCTGGTCTTCCTCAGGCTGGTCTCAAACCTTCCACCTCTGCCTCCCAGAGTGCTAAGATAACAGGCGTGAGCTACCACACCCAGCCTGGAGAACAATTTAAGATATTTGATTCTTTGAAATTAAAAAGTAACTTAACCTGGTTTTTAATAGCTATACTTTGAGGGTTTAGATGCTGTACTTCCAGGGCCAGTGTGGTTCCTACCCTCAGAGATTTGCCATTTAAGTGAGAGTGACGTGAAAGCATTTAACTGCAAATCTTTGTACTAAGGTTATCATGGAGATGAGTAGGATGGGAATGCTGAGGAGGGAGCAGCGTGAGGGTTAGGGAACACACTAGGACATTCGATGCAGACCTCGGGGTCATCAAAGGTCAGGTGCAAAAAGGTTAGAGTGGCCATCACAGGCAGGGGAGGAGAGTCTGGGCAGATTGGCATAGCAGCTGGGGTGGAAGTGCCAGGAAGGGATGCAAGGTGGCTTCCTCATCTGTGTTGTCATCTCTAGGCAGGCTTTTCACGTCCCTGGTTGGGCTGAGGGTCCTTCTGTTTTTCTGGAGCAACTTTTGCAAACTTACCGGAGTGGTGGCTAGCTGTATCTGCTGCTTTTGCTAAAGTGGGGACTAACTCCCCGGGGATGAGTGTGTGGATAATAGTCATCTTTGTATCCCTGACACCCACCACAGTGCCGGGACTCTTTGGTTCATAGAGCTATTTCTTGAATTTGATTGGGGGATGATTGAACTTAATTGAGGAGTAATAAGGAAATAAAGTTAAAAAGTTAGGTGTGGGTCAACAGAGTGTGTGTTGTGTGGTAGGATTTGACCATAAAACTGTGTGGAGCCTTGAGAGGTTTGTAAAAACAGATACAGCATTAAATTCTGAGAGAACTGTGACAGCGTCGATGATGGATGGGGGAATGTCTGCAGTGACCCAAGTGTTCAGTGCCTCTGCAGACCATTTAGAGGCCCATGTTGTGGCTGAGTCCTGAGGTTGGAGAGGAGCGGGTCTAGCTAAGGATGGGCAGGTCTCAGGGACAGTTGGGAGGTGAGGCAAGGGAAGAGTCAGGGTGCCTCTGGGGTATATTTTGGCTCAGGCAGTGTATAGAGAAATTAGTATTTGCTGCTGGCAAAGGTTGCAAAGCGAAAAGTGAGCTGAGGTTTTGTTTGAGCTTGATGTGTCTATAGTACAACATTTAGGTGAAAATCTAGAGATCTCACGAGAGAGGTATAGACAGATTGATGAGTTTGCCACCACACTGCTGACAATAGCTGGTATTCAGATTGGGGGTGTGGTTGAGACATCTTAGTCTTAGACTTAATTATTGGGGGGTTGGTATTGTGTAGACTGAATTTCTCTATTTTGTCTAAAATCTGTTTTTCCCTTCCTTTACTCCTGTAGGGGTCTTACCTCTTAGCAGCTTCAAATGATTTTGCAAGTCGAATCTGGACTGTGGATGATTATCGATTACGGGTAAGACTTGGTTAAGAAAGTTAGTACCATCTCCAAACTTCACATGGTACAAAGTGTAGAAAAAATGGCAAGTGGCTTGGCACCCGTAGCTCAGTGGTTTGGGTACCAGCCATGTAAACTGAGGCAGGCAGGTTTTCGAACCAGCCCAGGCCTACTAAACAACAGTAACAACAACAAAAAAATAACCGGGCGTTGTGGCAGGCTCCTGTAGTCCCAGCTACTTGGGAGGCTGAGGCAGGAGGATCGCTTAAGCCCATGAGTTTGAGGTTGCTATGAGCTGTGACGCTATGGCACTCTACTGAGGGCAACATAGTGACACCGTGTCTCAAAGATCAATTAGGAGTCTTGTGCTATTTTCCTAAAAATGATGCCAATTTACCTTGACCTTTCCTTTCCTCCTTGGGAAAGTATGTTTCTGCTTCACACTCTTATTTTTGTCTAAGTTTCCATTTCAGAATGTTATGTAATAAGACCCTCACATTTGTATGAACAAGTTGGTATACTTCTGCTTACAAGAACTAAATAGTTTTCGTAGATACCAGTTTTAGCTTAACTTCACAGATTTAGCGCCAGCATGTGAATTGTGATTCTTAGGGCCCATAAGACCCAGTCATTACATCACAGAGTGTAGCTGGGCAGTAAGATATAGAAGTGCATATGGATGTACCTATAGAGGTAAACAGTTCTGAAGCAACTAAAGCTCAAGCTGGGAGACAGGCATCGGGAAGGAAGCGTGAGTCCTAATGTTGAGAAAATCTGCACTAGAACCCAAACTTGCCATGGTCCCTTATCCAAGGCAGAAGACGGAAACTTCATGATTGTATTGCTTTTGTTGTAATGATAAAAAAAGCATATAGCTTGATTTGCAGTTAACTAGAATAGTCCTTTTGCAAGACTGTTGACTTTGAGGGCCTCTGGATTGCCCATAACCATGTGCTATCCCCATGTAAACATGTGAAGATCGGAGGCATTTTTTTCTTAAGCTTGAAGGAATCATCCGATAAGCTTATTAAATCAAAGCTCTTGAGAGGTAACAGGGGGTGAATTTGGCAGTGGTAGACATTTTACTAAGAGGTTTGACACTGGTTGTCAAACCACACAAAAACCAGAGGAGCATGATGTTAAGAGGGTGAACTTCTTAGAGCTGTAGTGAATGATCTGTTGGGTATATTTCTGGTGGTTTCATCAGAAGATGCAGGAATCACATGAGAAGACTCTTAGAAACATACATTAACCTAGGCTTTCCATTTTCCTGAAAGAGCTGTATGGAAAATTACCTATAAAATGCTAGCCAGTATCTCAAGAGTAGTAATTTTTCATTCTCAGTTTACAGAAGATCCAGGTCTGAATGTGTAAGAGTGTGAACCCCGAAGATGACAAAGTGTGCGTTGTGCACACTGAGAGCCTGCCCTGTGCTCTTGTGTTGATGAAGGGCTAGAGGTGTACTGCTTGGGAGCCTGCCCCAGGTGACAGCTATCCAGATGCTTGAACTGGCTTTCCCTGGAAGCCCTGTAGCTCTGCCTCATACACAGGGAAAAGACGGCCTAACCAGTCCTGGTGGCTGCATTGTCATCTGTCCTGCAGTATGCCATGATTTATCTAACCAGTCTTCTATTAGACACTTAAGATGGGGTTGAATCTTCCACTGTGGTTAGTTTGCTTAAAAGGAGGCCAGGTGAGGTAGATAGATTAGGAAACTGAGGCTCAAATAAGCCCCTCAAATTAGCCTAAAGTAACACAGTTAATAAGATTAGAGGGCTCAGCACCTGTGGCTCAAGTGGCTAAGGGACCAGCCACATACACCTAACATGGTGGGTTTGAATCCAACCCGGGCCCACCAAACAACAATGAGGGCTACAACCAAAAAATAGCCAGGTGTTGTGGCAGGCACCAGTGGTCCCAGCTACTTGGGAGGCTGAGGCAGGAGACGTGCTTGAGCCCAGGAGTTGGAGGTTGCTGTGAGCTGTGATGCCATGGCACTCTACCCAGGG